TTCAAGATGCCGGTGGGAGTAAGCAAGAGCATTGAGAAATTAATAAGGGATTTCTTCTGGGTGCCAGGAGAAGAGAAAAGAGATCATAAGGTGTGCTGGGAGATAGTTAGTAGAGATAAAAATTATGGGGGTCTTGGAATAGGACTTATCCAAAAAAGAAATTTATCTCTACTAGGGAAGTGGTTATGGAGAATGCCGAAAGTAAGAGAGAAACTCTGGGCAAGGGTGGTGGTGAGCATACACAGGCTATTGGACAATGGATGGGGCAATGGTTCACTGCAACGGGCTACCAGAGCTTCACCTTGGAAGGCCATACAAGCGATTCTACCTTGTTTCTTGCCTCTTGTAAGGTATGAACTCAATTTTGGCAACCTAATCAAATTCTGGTATCAAATTTGGTATGGGAACTCCCCTTTGAAGGACTTATACCACTCTTTGTATTCTTTATCATGTTTCAAGAATGAGCCCATTTCTACTTTCTTAGTCCCTTCAAACTCAACCAATGACTTTGATTGGAACCTTGGCTTTAGAAGGGGATTAAGGGATTCAGAAATTGATAGTGTGCTCTCTTTAATCCAAAACCTTGAAGGAATTTTCTTTGATCCTGATAAGTCTGATGAAAGAATTTGGACACCTTCCTCTTCGGGTCTGTTCTCCTGTAACTCTTTCTTCAAAGTTTTAACCCAACCTCCCCTTAGTCCCCTTCAATCTTTTCCTGTTAAGGAGGTATGGTGCAAGCCGATCCCACCTAGGATTGTGGATTTTTGTTGGGAATTTATTCACGAAAGAATAAATACTTTTGATGGGCTACAAAGGAAGAGGAAAAAGTGGTGCCTTTCCCCACACTGGTGTGTTCTTTGTAAGGCTAATAGTGAGACTTGCTTTCATTTATTTATCACTTGTCCGTTTGTTGATGGCATTTGGGAATGGCTTTTTTCCTTATTTGAATGCAGGTGGACACCTCCGGCTGACATTAAAAGTCTCTTTGACCCAACTTCCTGTCCATGGCTGAGGATGATAGGTAACATAATGTGGAAGAGTGCTAGGGCGGTAATAAGCTGGGTAGTGTGGGAAGAAAGAAATGCAAGAATGTTTAGAGAAAAGGAAAGAACAAAAGAGGCATTGATTGAATTAATTCTGATTAGAATGGCTCAATGGCTGAAATGCTTAGAAAGCTTCTCACATATATCCATTGATGACATCATTAGAAACTGGAAGGTAGTGGCAGACTCAAATGTCAATAAGCAGCCTGTTATTCCTATCTGGGCCCCTCCTGAAAGAGGATTCATAAAGCTTAACTTTGACGGAAGTAGCATGGGAAATCCAGGAAGGTCAGGAATTGGAGGTGTATTCAGGGATGAGGAGGGTAAAGTGTCCGCATTATTCTCAGGCCCAGCAGGTGAAGGAGACTCACTAAGAGTGGAAGTAAGGGCAGTTATGGAAGGGGTGCAAAGGGCTAGAACCATGAATGTTAGAAAGCTAATCATTGAAGGAGATTCCAAACTGGTAGTGGCTTGGCTACTGGATGAGGAAAGTAGGATGTGGAAATACAATAATGAGAAGAAAAATTTCAGATGGATCACAAAGGACATGGAACTGAGAATACATTGGGTGAAAAGAACAGCTAATTCGATGGCTGATGACTAGTCAAGCAAGGGGTTGGGAGAATTCAAACATTTTGGGCACAGATGTAATTTTTAATTGTAATTAAAGTCTAAGGGGAGAAATAAGAGGGCTTGTCTCTTTCCCACTTTCTCTTGTACACTTTCTTTTAAATTCAATGAAGTAATCAGTTATTCATAAAAAAAAGATATCTTATATATGAGATGTGTACAAAGATGAGAAATGACAGTTGTGTCCCTCTCTTACAAGTAAGAATAAAACAGAAAAAGATAATGTAGATAAGATACAACATAAATGTGTGCTCCCGAGAGCCAAAAAAGGAAAGAAGATATAAGAGACATAAATCAGTCTCTACAAGGAGTTGGTACAACCTTATATAAGGGATGGATGGGACATTCTACATATTACATTCTTTATTACTATCTTAACAAAGTCTTTATAGTTACATATGTGCATTCCTTGTGTTTTTTTGGGCTATCCTTAAAAGGGTTATAAATGTTTATCCTATGCTCAAGAGGTGGTATGTCTCTACGAAGGTGTCCTTTTGAGTCTCAGTCATTTCTCTGCCTGTCCTTGTGGGGAGAAGTGTAGTAGTTGTTGATGTTAGGTAAACCAAAACCCAGCTTTCTTTACCATTTCCTATCTCTTCCTCCAAATTCAAGCCATCACTTGTTTTCTGTATTTACTCCCATTGTCAAAAGAATTAGCCTATGTTTCAAGATGTGGCAGCACTAATGATTATACAACCCACACCACTAGTTATTGTGCAGCCCACACCATTTTTGAGGGATTTTCTCTCTATAATAATACAATTATACATTGATTTACAAAAAAAAGAGCTTCTATCACATCAAGGTATTTTGTCCCTTTTGATTTTTCTTAACATTCCCATTGCTTTCCAAAAGATGCCCATAACACGGCATCTGATTCCAGGTGCTGTGTTATGGGCGATCTGGCAAGAAAGAAATTCAAGGATATTTCAAAACAAAAGCTGTCAAGAAGATGAAATGTGGCAGAAAATCATGGGGAAGTTCTTTTCATGGTCATCGACTCAGTTTAAAGTTAACAGTTCTTTTTATAGCTCTCTGTTTAATTTTAAAGTCTGTTTCTCCCAATGGGTTTGTGGTTTGAGTCTATTCTTGTAACTCCTTTGTACGGCCTCTAGTTGTACTTTTTTCTCTAATGAATGAATTGATACTTCACTTCTCAAAAAAAAAAAAAATCCTATTGCTAGTTTCACTTATTGTGATGCCTTGTCTCCTTATTGTGCTTACATCCCTACCACTCATAGTGTTTCTATTCCTAAAAATCTTGTAGATGCCTTAAGTTCACCTGATCACTCCAGTGCTATGTTGGAGTCTTGGAGATCATTGCCCTTCACAAGAATAATATATGGTACTTGGTGGATCTTCTTGATGGGAAGGGGCCCATAGGATGCAAGTTGTATAGAAGGCTTGATATATCAGCTTTGATTCTACCATCCACGGAAAAAAAATTGCAAATGGAAAATGGAATGCTCAAGGAAGATGATGACAAGGCCTCAAAAGAGACACATGCCTGGATGGGTGGATGTTATCATAGGTGAAAATAAGGTGTAAAAAATGGAAATGGAATTTGAAAAATTGGGACCTATAGGTAGGGGTGTCGATTGGACTGGATTTGGTCTAATCCGATCCAGTCTAATGTGAGTCCAATACAAATGGACCAAGTCCAATCCAATCCAATGAATAATTTGGACCATGTTTGGACCATCCAAGCCCGGTCCATTAACACCTATATTCTTATCTTATATCAATGGACCAGATATTGGCTTAATCCAACCAAATCCTGTATAAATTTATTACGGATGGACCAGGTCCAGTCCAATCTAATAATTATTTTGGACCGGATTGGTCCAATCCACTATGTCTTTTTGATCCATCCAATCCGTCCAAATTGATTTTGGACTGGATGGGGTCCAGTAAAAAACCGGTCCTTTGACACCCTTATGTATAGGACAATGAGAATCAACAAAGGAAGAACTACTCTCCTTGTACCAAGGGCTAAAATTGGGAGATCTATTGAATTTCAAGGATATATAGTACCGGAAGGTGACTCCTGTATTGTGGTGGGATGTCCAAGAATCAATATGTATGGTCTGTGGCAGTTTAGACACTTCTTAAAGGAAATGCTGCAAATAGCAAGGGAGTTGATAGATCAATTTGGATGGACTCACAGATCTGCACTGTTTCATAGATGCTTTGGCCGTACAATGGGTAACAAGAGATAGATTATATTTGGGGGGAAACATTTAGGTATCCAATCCTGTGATTTCAAAGTCAATGGAAAAATAGGGCATGGCAGCAAGGCCACCACATCTTTTATCATCTATTAATATAATGCAGAGTTGCCATTACCAAAAAGTAGTACAGATGAAAATCAACACATGTGATAACCTGCAAAAGAGATGGCCTAGTTCTTGTTTATCTCTCCAAATGTGCTTTCTTTGTAGAGGAATATGTCAAACTACCTAGAACTTAGAATTAGTAATCTCCTACTCTATTGTGTCCACAATCTGTGAGTTCTTTTTCACTATTTTTTGGTACAGGTGGATTCCTCCAGTGGATGTACAAAGTCTTTTTCAGTGGCACTTTTTTTTTTCTTTTTATCTTACCAAAGAAAAAAGGGTAAAGATTTTATGGAGATCTACAAATGATATGGGAAGAAAGGAATGCCAGAATTTTTAGAAAAAAAGTCATGCAAATGATGCTTTGATTGCATATCCATAAGGGTAGCCCACTGGGTAAAAACTTTAAAGGAACTGACGAGTGATAGCACAGTATTTAATGACGAACAATTAGCAACATTATTTGGATGCCTCCAGAGGGTAACCGTGTCAAATTAAATACTTATGGATGCTGTTTGGGCAATCCATAACCATAAGTATTCTTTATATATTTTCAAGTCTGGATCTGCTATGAACATTTTGCTGTTTATATTGTTACTTCTTCCATCTGCAGATGACAGCTGTCTGGACCCAATAAAGTTCTGCTTAATTTTTGAATTGTCCAGAGCCATGACGTGAGTCAAGACAGCTGTCATTTGTTGATTGGAAAAACAGTGATGTTAAGATCAAAATGTTCAGAGCAGGTCCGGTCTCTCTTTTTTTTGATAAGCTAGAAAAAAGTATTTTATTGATTGTATGAATCTGAAAAGGGAGGGCAAAACACCCTCCACTGTACAAGAGAACCTGTAGTAAGAAGAACTATTCAAAAAGTATCATCATATCATTTCTTTTTCCTTATAATTAAATGATTCTGTTCTTTCACATCTACTCTTTTCTTTGTTATTTAATGACTTTGTATTGATAAAAGGTTATCTTATTCTTTTTGCTGAAGCATGGAGCAAGATGAAAGCCTTCAGACCTTAAACCAGCGAAAGGTGGAAGCTTCTGCAAACGTAGCAGGTCCTTCTATGCGGAATGTAATGTTGCGTTCAACAACCTTTGTTGAGGGAAAGCTTTGGTAGTATGACATTTTCTCATGAATCTTCATTCTGTTCTCATAAATTAAGAGATAATCGTATAATGTGATTGTTAAGAAATTTCCTTTGGTGGCTATAGTTTATCACATAGTGAACCCAACATTGCAAACAATTTTTGGCGACGTAGCCGGAGGAAAGTTATTGCTGAACAACGAACAGCTAGTTCAAGGTTTTCCTTTCTAACTAATTAATTTTTTGCATTTTATACAAATAAAAATTTTATTTTTTGATAAGTATAATTTAACTTTTCATCATTTGATGTTTTCATTGGTATTTCAGTTAAAACTTCAACTTTTTGTTGCTTTGGGATTGCAATCTCCTATACGGTTTTGTAGCATTTGATTTGTACTTTTACATGTGGGATGATAATTTTTTGTCTCTTGCTACGTGCATAATTTGTTTGTGATCATTTCCTGTAGTCTGAAAGTGTTTGAAAAATCCTGCTCAATTGGTTTATTCCCTAGAAAATGAAGTCTGAATCTCAATGAATTGTCAACAGGTGTAGTGGGAGGTACAGCTGGAATGTATCTTTCCATTATTTGGCAAATGGTAGAACCTTAGATTGGAATATTATATTACAGAAAATTGCAAGACAACTTGAAAGGTTCTTTGAGGAAGATGAAATTAAGGGAACTGTTTTTAAGATGGATAAGGACAATGGACCTGGTTCATATAGCCTTATTATGATTTTTACCAAATCTGTTTCTAGACAATCAAAGATGATTTGCTGAAGGTGTTTGGTGAGTTCTTTCATAGGGAGATCATAATCAGAGATATCAATACCAACTTCATCTCTTTTATTCCTAAGATGGGGAGTGCTTCCCATCATTAAGAATTCATTAGTTTGGTTGGAAGCATATATAAGGTCACATCTAAGGTTCCATCTATTAGATTGAGTTTCCTACTTAATATCTCTCCACATTTTTTTTTTTTGTGAGTAGTCGGATGGGAAGTTCTACTCCTACTTAATAGTATCAGGAGGGGGCAAAAGATGTCTGTATTGATAATGGCAATGTGAGAGTCAAATCAATGAGTGAAAAATGTATATGATCAATTGGATCTTAGAGAAATGGGTAATGTAAGAAAAAGATGGATAATCGAAGATGCATTGGACATGGCTAGATCAAAAATGGTACTTGTTCACGAATTCAGGAATCTAACTTATAGGATGTAAAGGCCACTTGGTTCAGAAGGTTTTGTAGAGCGACATTTGTGTATGATGATGGGCTGAAAATTTCTTGTTAGGCTTGTATCTATTGGATTTTAATGGGTTGAAAATTTTCCAACTTCATGATGATGGGCTGAAAATTTCTGATTTTTGTACTGATTAGGGGAGTCTCATCTTCAATGTTCCCAATGGTGGTGTAAATTTTATGTGCCGTATGTGTCTCAAATTCAAATGCTTACACCTTGTATTGGGTTGCTGCCTTCATCGGTTTTCTTGCATTTAACACCAATACATTTTTACCTTCCAGAGATTAAATCAAAGAGAATTTTGTTTGTTCTTTTTCTCTCCTTCCTCCTTTTGGTAAATTATTATGAAAATCTGATAATATGTGCTTGTGTTGCCCTTCATTAACTTTAGCAAATACTGAGCAATTGAATTAGTTTAATAACAAGGAGACACTTGGGAGAGAGAAGAGGTTGGGGGCGGGGAGGGAGGGAGGGGTTAACATACAGTTATGACTTCATGACTGTAGACCTTGAAAATATAAAAAAACTCACTAAGGATTCAACAAACTGCTAAAGCAAATTTAAAGGGGGCCAAAAGAGGACCTGATCACCCAGTCATAAAAAACAAAACAGATAACATTTCAAGAACCATTATTAAATTTAGGTGTTGGATCTGATTTTCTTTCTTTTAAAGGTCTTTTAGAGTTGTTTGGGGTTTACCTGCACTCTAGACAGTCATTTGACAATGATGGATTAACTCTATGGTGTGGCCAAGCTGTTTTATTTTTTAAATTACAATCAGTACTTAACACTCCCTATAGCGTAGCACAACCTTCTTTCCTCCCTCTATTTGAATTCTGTTACTATATTTTATTCTCTAATTCGTACCCTGCAGCCCCCAAAATAATTGATTCCTGCTGATTCCAAGTCTGACTCATATATCAGCCATTCCATTTGCTGATCTCCTTCCTTATCTATGTAGTGTGAACCGAATTGAGATCAAGAAGAAAACAGAATTAGGGGTGTCAAGAATAGTCGACCCCCACCCCAAAGAGTCTCTTTTATAATTAAGAGATAAAAGATATGTTGTTGGGACCCAAACACTCCCTTCGAACCCAACTATAGGTGTGGAGTAGACCTCCACCGAGCAGCATTTCACTAGAAGACGGAGAGGCTAGCATGACACAAGGCGGAGCCTTCCAGAGTTAGTTACACTGCCACTAGAAGATATTCTCTTCATGATTGCATACATCTAGGCCAGCTATATAAGGCCCTGATCATGTAATAAGTGTTATGAATGAATATCCCTTTTTTATCTCTCTCTCTCTGTTATCTTCTTCCTCCCATCCCCTCTCTTACATCTAGGCCAAACTCATCAGTTTGGTATCAGAGCCAACAATCCAAATCCCAGGCTTCACGATGCCATAGACACGTTCTACTGCCGTGGATGAAAGGGTCGACCAAATTGAGGTCGAGCTTCACCAAGTGGTGAACGAACTCAAGGAACTCAGATGATCGTCTCCAGCATTGCCTCTCAGCAACAGTCCAGCGAGACCAGTCACCTAGCAGGAGCGAAAGCCTCTGCTTCCAGTAGCCAAAGAACAGGGGGTTACTCCACTGGAAAAGTCACTAAGATCAATTTCTCAACTATTCTGGTGGAGATCCCATTCCTTGGATCTTCCGAGCAGAAAGATATTTTGAATACCATGAAACTCCTGCTCACCAGTGTGTCTCCATCGCCTCCATTCATCTAGGAGACGTGATTCTATGGCTCCAGTGGTACTGCCGGAATCATCCTTAGGTAACTTGGTCGGAGTTCATCGAAGCCTTGTGCATCCGCTTTGGGCCGACGGTGTTCATGGACTACGACGAGCTGATCATCCAACTGAAGCAAACTGGAATTGTAGCAGAGTACCAACTCGAGTTCGAGCAGATGGCGACTAGGGTGCACGGCTGGCCGGAGAAGGCCTTAGTAGGATGTTTTGTGGGAGGACTTAGAGAGGATATCCGCCTGGAGGTGAGAGCTTTCCGTCCGGCGACTGTCATGGGTGCAATGGGATTAGCTCGCCTGCAAGAAGAAAGAATCGACAACCTTCGTCGAGCTAGCAAACTGCCCTACCCGATTTTGAGGACTCCACGAGTCGACCGACAACCCATGAAACCAGTTGGTGATGCTCAGAAACCCATACTGCCCCGACCCACTATGCCTTTCAAGTACCTCTCGTGGGCTGAGATGCAAGCTCGACATGAGAAAGGCCTTTGTTATAACTGTGATGATAAGTTTGGACCAGGCCATAAATGCCAGGTCCAATGGGTGTTTCTCCTACAGACAGAGGAAGAGCTGGATGAGACAAACCCAGAGCACTTCATTGAATATGAACTGATTCTAGACGGGTCAGAACCTGATGGGTCAGAGATCTCCTTACATGCCCTCATGTGCCTCAACTCTCTTCATTCCATGCGAGTAGAAGGAAGATTGATGTGCCGGACCATGATGATTTTGATTGACAGTGGCTCCACCCTGAATTTCATCACTTGCTGTTTGGCTAAGCAGCTAGGTATGACCATACAACCCACCCTCTCTATTCAATCCATGTGGCTAATGGGAGTCAGATGTCATGTAATGGTGTATGTAAAAAGGAGAAAATCCTCATACATGCCCATAATTTTGTGGTGGATCTCCACCCATTTGATTTCTCGGGGGGCTGAAATTATTTTGGGGGTTCATTGATTACGTGGTCTGGGCCCTGCTCTATGTGATTGGGCTAAAATGATAATGGATTTTCACCAGGATGGCCAATCTTGTCATTTACAGGGGGTGTAGCCCCAGGCCCACAAAGTGATACTTTTACCTCCCTGATACGGGCCTCCAAAGATGCCGGCCAACCCATATTTATGCACTTAGGCCTTCGACCCATAGTTCCAATTCTGGACAACCAGGGCTGTGTCCACCCCATTGAAGCCCAACACAGGGCCCTACGGTCGATACTCGATCAGTTTGGCGATGTATTTGAGGAGCCGAACCAATTACCCCCATCCCAGACTCATGATCATTAGATACCTCTCTTACCTGGTTCTAATCCAGCCAATGTGGGGCCATATAGATACCCTTACTTTCAGAAACTAGAAATTGAGAAGGCAGTAAGAGAACTATTGGAAAAAGGGCATATACAGACCAACACCAGCCATTATGAGTTCTTGGTTATGCCTTTTGGACTCACAAATGCCCCCTCCACCTTTCAGGTCATCATGAATGACATCTTCAGGCCATTTATAAGGCATTTTATTCTGGTGTTTTTCGATGATATTCTTGTGTATAGCAGGGATTGTGACACACATATGGAACATCTGAAACTCACCCTCAATCTCTGAGGGGAAACCGGTTACATGCCAAAATGACAAAGTGTTCCTTTGGGCAAGGACAAATTCAGTACTTAGGCCATGTGGTTGCAGCGGGTCAAGTCATGGCAGACCCAGAAAAGGTAGAAGCCATTCAGAAGTGGGCCAAGCCCTCTACTGTAAAAGCTCTGTGAGGCTTTCTTGGGCTTACCAGATATTATAGGCGCTTTGTTAAAGGGTATGGGCTTATGGCTGCCCCACTAACGCGTCTATTAAAGAAAGATTCCTTCAGTTGGACTGATGAAGCCCAACGGGCTTTTGAAGAGAGTGGCGTGCATACCTATTGGGATGCCAGTTTGTTATTAGAACAGAACAACGAAGTTTGAAGTACATAGCAGAACAAATGGTGCACACCCCAGAGCAACAAAAATGGCTTAGTAAAATGATGGGCTTTGACTACCTCATAGAATATAAGCCGGGGCCCGCAAACAAAGTAGTTGATGCATTGCCACGAGTAGAAGAGTTAGCCCAGCTGACCTGCTCTCAGCCTAACTTCCCTTTATTTGAAGCTATACGACAAGAAGCCAGGTCTGATCCACAGTTGCAAGCCATTAGAGGTAAGTGGAATCAAGACCCTTCACAAGTTGTTGGTTACCA